CCCTGCAGCGAGCCCCCCCCCCCCGAAGCCCCGCCTCTGGTTCGGGTGCGGGAGCCAGGCCTGCCGAGGCTGCGACGCCGCCACAGCTCTGGGCAGGCCCGCAGAGGCAGGGGGATGGCTCACAAGGCCTTTGGGGTCAGCGGCCCCCAAAGTTGGCGATATCCTCTCTCTGGGCCTCAGTTCCCGTGTCTGCAAAACGGGAGCGAGAACAAGATTTAAGGGCGGTAACACGCGTAAGTCCCTCGCGAAAGCCCTGCTCGGGTTGGCCCGGTCTGGTCTGGGGTCTGAACGTGGCCGACAGGGTCTGGAGGGTCGCCACGATGGACTCGCTGGCAGCACCCCAGGACCGCCTGGTGGAGCAGCTGCTGTCACCACGGACCCAGGCCCAGAGGCGTCTCAAGGTGTGTGTGTGTGTGTGTGTGTGTGTGTGTGTGTAAAGGGGGTGGAATGTGGGTCAGTGTGTGCAAGCTTGCTTGACCAGGACCTGGGAGCTCCGGAACATGGTAGGGCCCAGCAAGACGCATGTCCCCTGGTGGTGGATACCAGGGACCCTTTGGTTGGGAAGGCTCCAAGCAATTTTCTATAAATAGCCCCTGCTCTGTGCTGCAGCCAGCCACCCCCAGTGCTGGATCTGAGCCAGATAGGCCTCCCACCCTCAGTACTCTGGGAAGAGGTAAGTGTTGAGGCCTGGGCTTCTTCTGTCTGTGAAGTGCCTTGTGTGTCTGAGGGGTCTCAGTCCTGATACCTTCAGACCACAAAGGGAGCCAGGGAAGACAGTTGCCAATGCCTGCTGGGGCTGGCATTCCCCTATCCTCCCCATAGTCTTGGGTCCCTGAAAAGCCTCTTGCTGAATCTGGGGAAGGAGTGCCTTTTCCTGCTACCCACCTCATCAGCCTTCCCACCTCCAGGCCTTTGTCCACAAATCCTCACCTCATTTTTGCCAGTGAAATGCCCCACCCTAGGTGAGGACTGTGCCATCTGCTGTCTCCTCATCCTGAGCAGGGTAGAGGATAGGGCACTGGGCTGCTGCAAAGAAACTCCAGAGTGCCACTGACCTTCCCCAATCCTGCCCCCAGGATATCGACAAGCAGTACGTGGGTTTCGCCACACTGCCCAACCAGGTGCACCGCAAGTCAGTAAAGAAGGGTTTCGACTTCACGCTTATGGTGGCTGGTGAGTGGGCCAGGTTGCTGGGTGGAGTGGCTGGGGCCTCTGGCCAGCCAGGCTTAGTTGTGGGGAACCCATACCTAACTCAATTCCTTCACTGTACCTGTGGCCAGGTGAGTCAGGCCTTGGGAAGTCCACACTGGTCCATAGCCTCTTCCTGACTGACCTGTACAAGGACAGGAAACTGCTCAGTGCTGAGGGTAAGTGGTCCGCACACAGTCCTGACACTGATTTACCAACCCTATCCTATAATCCTTTGAAGAGCACCCTTCTAGGTCTACCCTCCTTCTCATGTTGTGCATCCCTATTCAGAGTCCAGAAAGAGTGGCCCAGATCACAGTCATATTGTATGGCCAAGGTCAAGGCACTAGGAGGATAGATGAGGACAAGAGTCCTGGCTGCCTGGGGGAGGGCATAAAGGGTTGGAGTGGCCCCATACTAACAATGCCTTCCTCCCCATCCCCCTGCAGAACGCATCAGTCAGACAGTAGAGATCCTGAAGCACACAGTGGACATTGAGGAGAAGGGGGTCAAGTTGAAACTAACCATTGTGGACACACCTGGTTTCGGGGATGCTGTCAACAACTCGGAGTGGTGAGGAAAGCCTGACTGGGGAATGAATCCCTGACCCAGCTAATCCCAGCCTCCCTGTGGCAAGTGGGTGGTCCTGACATTGAATTAATGCTCCCTCCACCCACAGCTGGAAGCCCATCACTGATTATGTGGACCAGCAGTTTGAGCAGTATTTCCGTGATGAGAGTGGCCTCAACCGCAAGAACATCCAAGACAACAGGGTGCACTGCTGCCTGTACTTCATCTCCCCCTTTGGGCATGGGTATGTCCTGGAACCAGGCTTAGGGCCCATCCCCCTATAGTGTATTCCTATGGCTGTACCTATCACTGCACCACCACTACCTTACCATGCACATCCCTGCCCCTGGCTGCTCTCTGCAGGTTGCGGCCAGTGGACGTGGGTTTTATGAAGGCTTTGCATGAGAAGGTGAACATCGTGCCCCTCATTGCCAAAGCCGACTGCCTGGTCCCCAGTGAAATCCGGAAACTGAAGGAGCGGGTGAGCCTGCTGTGACAGGGGACTTGGCCAAAGACTATGGGGCCGAGAATGCTGGGAAAGCTGGCCAGCCCCATTTCTTGACAGCTCTTGCCCCTTCACTGCAGATCCGGGAAGAGATAGACAAGTTTGGGATTCATGTATACCAGTTTCCGGAATGTGATTCAGATGAGGATGAAGACTTCAAGCAACAGGACCGGGAACTGAAGGTAAATATGCAGTGGGGAGGGGATGGAGATAGCCAGGGATAGAGAACTGGAGGCCACACAGGAGCCAGAGTAGGGCTAGATATCCAAGTCCAATCTGATGAGGGCAAGAGTAATTTGTCCTGGAGGTAGAAGACCTATACCCTCATTGCTTTGTGGCTGATGGTGGGTCATTTGGGCCTCACCTAGGTGCTAGTGAGTCACGAAGCCCTTGCCCAGATTACCATGACCTTCCCATGGGTAAACAGCTAAAGAGTCCAACCCAGTTGTCATAGAGCTGTGACATCCCCTAACTCCCAGAGTGGTGGCTTTGGGTGCCCCAGATAGAGTGACAATTAAGACCCACCAAGGCCAAGGGCAGAGATCCACTGGGTCAACAGAGCATGGACAGGGGCATCATACCACAAGGTATGGGCTCAGCCTGTGGGGAGAGAAAGGGAAGGAAGCTAGATTGGTGGCTCTTGATGTGGAAGGGGTCAAGAAGCGAGAGTTTGGTTGGGCACAATCTGGCAGAGGCCTAAGGGTGTGCACTGCACAGATCATGGCTGCAGTGGGCAACAAAGATGTCAAAAGAAGAACAATATCAGGTTGACTTTGGGGGGAAGTGGATAATGGTGATGCTAGAAGGGCGTGCTTCGGGGTGCTAGCCCCCACGCCCCCCCAACCACTAAGCCTGCGCTCATATGGTCTGGGCGTGAGCCCTTGCTCCCCTCCCCCAGGAGAGTGCTCCCTTCGCTGTTATTGGCAGCAACACAGTGGTGGAAGCCAAGGGGCAGCGGGTCCGGGGGCGACTGTACCCCTGGGGAATCGTGGAGGGTGAGTTGATGCATGGGGCACCATGTACTGGGTGGGAAGGCTCCCTGGGCAGATGCCCACCCACAGCCCACTTCTGCCCCATAGTGGAGAATCAGGCACACTGCGACTTCGTAAAGCTACGCAACATGCTTATCCGCACTCACATGCACGACCTCAAGGATGTGACATGTGATGTTCACTACGAGAACTATCGCGCACACTGCATCCAGCAGATGACCAGGTGAGCCATCCCCACACATTGGAACCAGACCTCACACCTCTTGGCCCTGGCCATGTCTCTATAACTGAGGGCTGGTTGGCAATGCCCAACCAGAGCTCAATCTTGTCCTAACCCCCCAAATCAAATCCACAGTGCTTGCTCTCCCTAGAATTAGCTCAGGGGTTTTGTATCCCAGCCCACCACTCTGAGCCTCCTAGCAGCCATTTCCCTCCTTTATCGCCCCTCCCCACAGCAAATTGACCCAAGACAGTCGCATGGAGAGTCCCATCCCCATCCTACCACTGCCCACCCCGGATGCTGAGACTGAGAAACTCATCAGGATGAAGGATGAGGAGGTTGGTGGGAGTTGGGGGTGGAGCCAGGACTGGATGTGACCGCCAGAAGGGGTGGGGGTAGGGTCTGGCCTCTCCCGCTACCTTTCTCACCTGCCCTCCCTCGGTTCTCCACATCCCTCAGTTAAGGCGCATGCAGGAGATGCTGCAGAAGATGAAGCAGCAAATGCAGGACCAGTGACCCCTGTCCCAGCTCCACGTCGCCAGTCGCCACGGATAGACCACCTGCACCGGGCTGGCCCCTCCCACCCCTGAACCCCAGATTGGCCTGGATTCCATCCTGGATTCACCTGGATCTCAGTCGGGCCTGGACCCAACCCTAAACCCAGAGGGGCCCTGACCGGACTTTTCCCGACCCAGAGACAAGGAGCCACAACCCCATATGACCCTAATTTATTCTCAGTATCAACCCCTCCCAGGTCATTTGTATCTGTTTTTGAGGGGCCTGGACAATAGCCCCATCCCAACTGGTCTTGGGGGGGGAGCAGGCACTAAGTTGAGCACAACTTCTGAGATCACCCCCATCCCCAAGAAAGTCACAGCAACCAGATTTCAGGCCTTGTTCAGGCATGCACCTAAACCAAGGCAGAGGAAAGAAATGGATCTCCAAGGTTCTGGGCCTGTTCCCCTAATCCAGTGCTGCAGAGCACACTTTGGAGTCCTCTGTACTGTTCCCATGGGCCATGCAGCCTATGCTGATTCCCTACTTTGTGTAGAAAGGGGCTTTCCTTACCACCTGACACAAGGTGGGGACCAAAGTAGGCAGGGTTGGGCACCTGAAGCAATTCGGAAACATCTAGACCAGAAGGCTGCTGGTAGGGAGAGCAGGCAGAGGGTGGGCAGGGGACCTATGGCAGCCCATGCTCCTTCCCCACATCCTGGGCCGATCTAGAGGGCTCCAGGAACAGTGGACAGTGGCTCATTCCCTGACAAACCCCAATACCTAAACATCTCCCTTAGCACTGTGGTGCCAGGATCCCTAGCCCTTGGCCTCCTTCATCTCTCCACCCGCATGATTCTTCCTCCAACATCTCATGATCCGTTTTGTTCAGTTGTGAATGCTGTGTCCTGTCCTGGTGACAGGAGAACAATGTTGGTGAACGTCGCAGAGGGTGTCCTAGTATTCCGTGCGCCCCTGGGAGCGGGTGGGAGAGGAAATGCAAACCGTCAGCAGGCCTTGGTGATAGCGCCCTATCTGCTGCTGCAGCTCCGGCCCACGCCGCCTCGGGGTTATTTCTGTACAGGAGGCAGCACTGTGGTCTGTGCGGCGAGCGTGAGGTGGCTGGCTCTCTGGTCAACGCCTCCCGCTCCAGAGCAAGCTGGGCCACCAACCTCTCGCCATGGACTCCCGTGAGTTTGGGATCGTGCCTGCAGTTTCTTGGGCAGACCCAGTTTGGGAGACGTTTCGTTCGTTTATACTGCAATAGGGAGAGGGCTGGATCCGACTTAGAGGGGGATTCTGACCAGTGCCTAGGTCGGTTGGGGTGGAGAGGTGTGCGGCTGAGGCCACAGGCCTCGGGATGGAGCCGGGCCCAGTGATCCCGATGTCCATGGACGCCGCACAGGTGTCCCACCGGCCGACCAGCTCATCGCAGCCTTTTCTTACAGGGCCACACGGGGCGCTGAGCCTACTGCTCCTACTGTTGGCGCCCCGGATCCGCCCAGCCACGGGTTGCCCCGCGCCGTGTAGCTGCGCAGGGACGCTCGTGGACTGCGGGCGACGCGGGCTGACGTGGGCCTCACTGCCTGCCGCCTTCCCGCCTGACACCACGGAACTGGTGCTGATGGGCAACAACTTGACGGCACTGCCACCGGGGCTGCTGGATGTGCTGCCAGCGCTGCGCGCGGTGTACCTAAGCGCCAACCCCTGGCACTGCGACTGCAGCCTGGTGCCGCTGCGCGCGTGGTTGGCGGGTCGCCCGGAGCGCGAGCCCTACCGCGACCTTCGCTGCGCTTCGCCCCCTGCACTGCGCGGCCGCCTGCTGCCCTACCTGACCGAGGACGAGATGCGCGCCTCCTGCGAGCGGGGTCGGCTCTGCTGGGGGGCGCTGGTGGCTCAGCTAGCGCTGCTTGGCCTAGGGCTGCTACACGCGCTGCTGCTGGCGCTGCTATTGTGCCGCCTGCGGAGGCTAAGAGCCCAAGACCGTAGACCGCACGGGCTATCGCTGAACACCCCTCTGGTAGCCGAACCCGCTGCAGCTGGTGCGTCCTGAGAGAAGCGCAAAGCACGCAGGCCTGCAAACTCCACAGGACGCTGTCCAAGGATCCCTCTCCCTAACCAAGATCCCCCTGGGTCTTCTCCCCTGCCTGATCTCCCAAACCCACCGGGCGGGTAGGGTCAGATCTATGTGGGTTGGAAATGTTGCCAAGACGAAGTCAGGAAACCCTGTGCCCTTCATACTTAGAAAGATGAAGGAGCCTAGCTGCAACTGAAACACTGTGGAGTCTTCCCAAATTCCACGATGAATAAACCATTTTCCTGATCTGGCTGGTCTCTGTACCACATGACCTGGAATTCCCCTCCTCAGATTCCAGAAAAGACTCCAGGAAGATGGTCCAAGGGGACACAATCACATTTTCAAACAAGCCGAACTGGCCTGGCACCTACAGGAGTCTGGGTAGATGTGAAGGTACTGTGAACAGTGAGGAAACTCAGAGCACACTCAGAGGAATGGTTCTTTTGAGTTGTGGGGCCAAGAGGATGTTCTGAGGGTTCTGAGAACAGCTCAGAAGATGAGGTGTCTCTTATCAGTGACCCTGATGATCGGGCAGCTTTCAAAGCAGTCAGGGATGGACTGAGGTTGGGGTGATTGCATGGTGAGAATAGTCAAGTGGGGCCAGTGGTGCATCTGGAATTCCCTGGACTGTCAGTGAATCAGCCTCTGGAGTGTATACAGGGCAGGATGATTGAGGCCATGAGAGGTGGAGTCCATGGAAGGCCCCTGCAGGTGTGAGTAGATGCCAGGTGTCTCTGGCATGGTGTGCCTGGAGTGATCCAGGACTTCTCCCACAGTTCCTGGCTCCTACAGGTGCCCCTAAGTATCCTCCCCATCCCATTTCCCCATCTCACAGCAGGAGCCCCAGCCTTTGGCCCTTCTGTTGAGGCTCAAAGTCCACTTCTGCTTGAGAGTTCTGTCCCTACTAACCACCTCACAGCCTCTGCCTCCCCAGGCTCCCAGGCTGCACCATACTGATCCTACCTCCCAACTAGGACTGTACATGTGCCCTTCTTTCTGCCTGGCACACATCCCTTCACATTGCTGTTCCTTGCTCACCTCCTGCCTCTCCAGCTAGTGCCCACCTCACTGCCATTTTCCTCAGGAAGTCCTCTTTGATTGCCCAGACTAGCAAGGGGCCCTCCAGTCCCTGGTCTCCTGCTGTCCTCTCCTGCCCTTATAGCTGAGCAAATAGTCTTTGAGTCCTTTGTGGGTTACCCCAGTATAGCACAAGACTGCTAACAAGGGGCACAGTGTGCACAAATGAGGGGTGACACCTTTTTCATTATTGGAGTCAGGATGAAAGTGCCTAGGACAGAGTCCCTCTCCTGCCTTTGGTTTGGCTCCCACCTTACTGACCCTGTGAATAATAAAGGCTGTTCTCTGAGGACCCCAAATAGGACTCAAGTCTAGGTACAGGAAGTCTCCTCACCTCTGGGTATAGGAAACCCCTTCTGGCTGCCATTGACCAGGTTGGGGAGGCTGTCACTGACATGGCCTTTGTCCTAGCCTTTGTGGGATAAGATGGATGGCCCTCCAATAGGGCTGATGCTATCTTCAGGCTGTCGATCAGACATAAGGCAACAGCCACCCCCTCCCTTGTGGGCAGGTGCAGGGCATCCGGCCCATTGTGGACTGCAGCTAACTGTCCGGTTGTCCATCCGGACTTATCACCACATCAGGGACAATGACCCCCTTTGTACAAGGAACTGACAAACTTACCCTGCAAGGGTGAGTTCTGGCATCCCCAGAACCCCTGGTGGAGGTCAGGGACAAGCAACTCTCTAAACTCAATCTGAACATGATGCAGGGAGGAGGTGTCCCTTCTGCTATCCAGGAGAGGAAACCAAATCCCAGAAAGGAGCTCCCTACTGGGTCCCAGAGCTTTCTCTATCATTGCCATGGGAGCAGAGCTGAGAAAGGTCCCTAGGTCCCCCATTCTCCTTCTCACTGAGGCCTTCAAGGAGCAAATTCAGGGCCTAGGGAAAATGGTTTAGGGGGCCTGGGTGACCTCCAAGCTAAAAGAAACTATGGGAAGGAACCCAGGCCTTCTCCTCAGAAGGCTTGAGCACTCCAGGACCAGTGTTTTGCTGAAGGGGTGGGCCTGGAGTCCCTGAGGGGTAGGACTATAGAGCAAGGGACCTCCACTATTGGAGGAATAAGAATGAAATCAGTGTGGTCAGACATAATGAAAAAGTCTTGCTTGCTAGTCAATGAAGCAGCTGAACTCCATGGCTCCAGGATCCCCTCCTCTTACTGGGCCAAGCTGCTGACCACAGGGAGTGCTGGCCTGGTCAGACTAGCTGGGGCCTAGGAACCTTCAATCCCAACTCCTGACCCTAAGCTGACCCTCCACATGCTGACCCTGGGGCTTCAGCCTCCAAATGGTATGGGGAAGTGGATGGTCCCAGCTCAGCGCCCCTGAATGGCCCCACAAGGGGAAGGGAAATACACACCCCCTGCTCAGAGTATTGTCCTCCACTTCATAGACAACACACCTGCCCCAGGGACTCTTTTCCACTGAACAGCTGGTCTCCTTCTTGGCCTCAGACTCCTCCCAGACCAGCAAAAGTCAGAGGACCCCTTTGGAGGTCCTGTCCAGCCCCCAACATATCCAGACCTCAAGATGGTGGATTAGGGACTCTTTGCCCTGCATCCCAACCAGCTGAACTGGACTCCCAAGGCCTCAAACTTAGATGGAGTCCCACTCCCAAGTATCCAGGCTTTCCACACCTTTGCCAGCCAGTCCTTCTGCCCAACATGCCCTCTCTCCTGTGATTACTGTCCGGATTCAAGGCCCCATTCAAGCACATCCTCACAGGGAGCTTCCCAGCTTTGCCTGGTCTGACACATGGCACACGATTTTGGGTCCAAACCTATTTCTCCAAAGCCTCCCAGGAGCTCAAGCCACAAGCTCCAAGTCCTGAGCACAACCCGACAGCAAGTGACTGATCAAAGAAGTATATAGATCTATCCCCAACAAAGCTAGACAGCAGCCCAAGGGTAGACGCAGCGGTGTCCTGCTGCTGAGAGCCTCTGTCTCCTCATTTGTGAAATGGGTGGATGCTGCCTTAAGCTGCAATGATTCCTGTACAGAGACCAATCCGGTCCTTCCTTCGGGCGCCGCGAACCAGGGATGGCACCAGAGGGCGCTCGCAGTCCGCAGAAAACACCTGCAAAGGGGCAGCGCAGGCAGAGTTGAGCGCTAGGGGTGCCGACAGCCAGGGTCTGCGGAAAAACAGGGGCCAGGAGAGGGGGGAAATGTCCAGGCTGCGTGAGGCAGCACTAAGAGGGTAAAGCAGGTCTCCCCCTCGGGGGAGTTGCGAGGCGGGCGCTGTGGGGCCGCTGACAGACAGGGAAGGGGTGAGCTCTACTCTCTCCCCTTCCCTTCCCGGCGCACTGACAGCCCGTCAACCGCAAAGATAAGGGACCTCTTCCGCCGGGACTAGGGGAAGAGGGCCATCCCAGGTGCGCCCTTCCCCCTCTTGCTGGTGTTTGCTTGGTAAACACTTATTGGGCCCCTGCTGTGTGCACTGTGGAGGGGACGGGAGGGCTGGACTCCGAAGCTTCTAACCAGGATGCCTGGTCTGGGTAGGCAAATATTCAAGACAAGAGGCTCCGCCACCCACGGGACAATGGCTGTATTAGGGTTCTTCATGGAACTTCTCTAGCGTGGGGAAGCGTCAATGTTGGACTGACTTGCTGGGGCCCCCGCATGAAGGAGGCTCTGGGAAGTTCTGGGGGGCCCAAGCCCAGGCCACGTTGGGGGGGGGACCGCACCCGCCGCCCAGACAGAGCAACAACATTGGGGTGGGTGGCAGAGCCCTGGGGGCCCATAGCTCACCGCACCGTCTGCGCCCACCCCTGGCGTTTCCGATGGAAGACAGGCGGCTAGTGATAAATCACCAGTTCCCACCCCCTCCCACCCGGGGGGACCAGTGGGAATGAGGGGCTGCAGGGCTGCATGTGACAGAGTCCGGGCCTCAGACAGAGACCGAAGAGAAGCCCAGAGAGGGAGATACAAGACAGAGAAACAGAGGCAGCTGCACCAGCCAGGTACTTGCTGGATTGTCTGGCTTCCCCACCACCACCCCCCACACACCACCACCCCGCCCCAGGTGTCCCCTCCACATAGCCCATCTGGAAACCAGCTGAGAGCCACCCCCAACCTTGGCTGACCCCAACAGGGAGGTGGAGGAGGGAGGGAGCCAGGCCTTTGCAGCTATAATTCTAGCTCCCCTGGGAGGACTATAAATCAGCAGGGGGGCACTCCACAAGCACTCCCCCCACCCCCAGGGAGAGTGAGGATCTTCAGGGTCACTGATCCTGGTGACTAGGCCTGGCCTTGACTGTGACCCTCCCTCTTTAAACAGCTTTTGGGGGGATCTCACAGGCCCTCCCCCATCTCTCATTTTTTTACCAACACAGGCAAACTAGCCTAGAGCTGTCTAAACCAAGTTCTGTCTACACTGGATGCTCACACTCACTGCCTCCTTCTCTCTCAGCAGACAGGATATGTCTGCAGGGGAGTGATGTATCCTCATTAGGAGAACCCCTGGGGGGCTGACCTGTCAATGGTCCCACAGGAACTGGGAGTCAGCAGATCCTCTCCAGTGAGGCTTCCCCCCACCCTCAGGTCCACTCTGCCCCAGGAGAAATGCCATCTGTGCCTCCTTCCATCCTGCCTTCCCTATCACCTCCCACCAGGATGCTGAGGGCTCTCTAGACAAAGGGTGGTGAGAGCTGAGCCAGGTGGGCCCCAGGTGTGAGCATGCACACATGTACACACACACATGCACGCCTTCCCAAAATAGGTGTGACATCACCAGTGGGAGAGGACTGAGGGAACCAGTGGGAGTTGTGGGGTATGATCAACACCCCCACTTCCCAGACCCTCATTCCAGTGGGGCCAACCCCAGCAGTCCTTCTCCAGGGATCTGTCCTGCAGGTAGTCCCCCATGGCCTACATGGCAGCATTAAGGCCACTTGTACACAAGGAAACACAAATGTCCACTGTATAGTCACTCATAACATGTCTCAAGAAATAATGAGGGCTGGGGTTGTAACTCAGTGGTAGAGCACTTACATAGTGTGTGTGAGGCACTAGGTTTGATTCTCAGCATCACGTATAAATAAATTAATTAAATAAAAGACCACAAACAACTTAAAAAAAAAAAAGAAATGATGGAATTGGTGGGGAGGATGGTCCTTGTCTAGAAAGACCTTTGGAGCTCTTGGGATTATGTGCCTGAAAGAGACACTGAGTG